TGGCGGCTTCCCAGGGCTGCGGGGCTCCATGACAGCATCCTCCTCCTCCTTGGACTGCTTGGAGAGACGGGCAACCCGGGCATAGAGCGCGGCACCGGCCGAGCCCGAGCCGCAGGAGGAACGCTCACTGTCCGAGGACTTGAGCAGGGGCGTTTCGCTGCTGTCGGCCGGGAAGGCTCTGATGGAGCCCGTCTCCTTCAGGAAGGTGTATTCGCCCGCTTCCTCCCCGCCGGCTGGGGCCACCAGCTTGTCCCAGAGGCTGGCAGGTGTCCCCCTGTCCCTGCTGTCGCCCACACTCTCTGTGGGAGGTGGGCATGGGGGTGTCAGGTGGGGATGTGCCCGGGGAGGGGAAGGACCGACATGCTCCCGCAGCACAGTGGGACGGCATCCCACCCGGTTCCCCCCCCCCCCCCGGTGTGTCCCCAGGTCCCCCCTTCCCCTCCTCCTGGTCAGGGACCCCAGCACAAGAAGGCTCTTGAAACAACACCAGAGCAGCAAATGCTGGAGGAGGGAGCTCTGAATCCGCACGGGAGGCAACATCAGCACCCGCATGCCTTCCCTGGGCACGAGGAGCCAGGGTGGCACAGTCCCCACCGCGCAAGGGTGACACCTCTCCACTGAGCAGGAGGTGGCCCCTGCTGATGTCCCCAAAGTCCCCTGGGGAAGCGCCCCATCCCCCTGCTCACCTTCGTGGGGGACGCAGTACACCGGCCCCTCATCCGTGGTGTCAAAGGAGGAGAAGGAGCCGCGGGATGACCAGGATGGGGAAGGCTGCTCCACCACGGAGGGCGGCTCGATGAAGCTGCAGTTCAGGGTGTTCTCCAGGTCGTGGTGGGCCACTGTGAGGGCAAGGAACCGCTGTCAGTGCCTGTCCTGCCAGATCCCCCCGGCCCCCATACCAGCCAGGAGGGTGGGATGCTGCACAGCTCCCCCCTGCCCAACTTGCCGGTGGGTCTTGGGGACAGGCACAGCATCCCAGGCATGGGGACAGCTCTTGCCGCACATCCCCACCAGGTCCCCCAGCCTCCTTCTGCAAAAGGAGGTAGAAGGATGGTAAAAGGATGCCCGTGGCAGGGGGATGCGCAGCACCATTTTTTCCCAGTTCTGCCACTTTTCAATCCCTTTGCCAGCTTCTCCCATCCTGAAGCCGAGGAGGAGCATCCCCCCTCGTGCCGGCGCTGCCCCCTCCGCCACGGGGGCCACCCACAGAGAAGCCGAGCGGAAGAGAAAAACCACCAGAGAGGAAAAACTTGGTGTTAAAAATATTTTTGGTTTCAACAGTTAAAAAAAAAAAAAAAAAAAAAACAGAGCAGTGACAGTTGTCTGGGCCGGGAGGGACTGGTTTTTCTGTTTGATCATTTTAAAGGCTTTTCTCTGGATAAGTTCATGTCCCAACCCACCCCGCGGTGCTTTCCCGCAGCTTCGGCATTGTCCTCGGGGTACCCGCAGGACTGTGGCAGCACCCAGCTGGGTGGAGGGGACCGACGCTCCCGGAGAGCCAGGCAGCATCAGATGCTCTTGTCCCCATCCCCTGCCTGCTGGCTTTTGTCCCCTGGGGTGGTGGCAAGGGCTGCAGCCAAGGCAGAGCCCTGCTTTGCCGCAAGGGCTGCAAAACCCCAGTGCACAGGGCAGGATCCCCCCGCGCAGCAGCTGTACATCGATATTTCCAGGTATTTGTAACTTCTGCCCGCACGTCCCAACCATCTAAGTCAGGCTGCAATTTCCTGCTTGGACTGTTTGATTCTTGCACCACATCCCTGTTTTACAATAAAATAACTCTGTTGTTGGGGTGCCCACCGGAACATTTATTCTTTAGTAGGGACTCTGGCTTCAGAGATGCAAGGTCCTTAAAATGACGGCAGTGATGCATGCTCGCCCCGGCATGGTTTGGCTTCTTGGAGAAAGGGGGGGAAAAAAAAAAAAAAAGAGCAGCGATATTTAAAGAGCAAACAGCCTGGAGAGAGGGAAGCGGCAGTTTCAACATGGCTTTCCTTGTAATAAAAACCAAAAAGGGAAAATTAAAAGCAGCCGGCTGGAAGCGGATGAAGGGAGATGCTTCCTGAGAGGGGGCGTGACGAGTGGCTGGGACTCACGGCCATGAGGCGTCTCTGGGACTCGGGTGAGACCCAGGATACAGCCAAAGGATAAAAAGAGGATGTGCGCCGCACCCGGAGCCAGGCTCGGGGGCTCCTGCATGGTCCCCTGGGATTTATCCCCCCCGGCCGATACATCACGGGCTGATGGGGCTGGGAGAAATGCATCCACTTCCCTCAGGTCCCCTCCTGCTGCTCCTCCCCGAAAACTCCCCGGGGCCGTGGCATCGGGGTGCCGACCCCAGCCCTGCTTGCATGGCGGCCAATTAGTCTCAAGAGCGGGATGAAGCAGCGAGGAGCCGCAGAAGGGCCGTGGAAGGATGGCCCCAGAGCCCTCCTGGTCACCCCCTCCCACTCATCCCAAGCTCCCTGCAGTCGGCATCACCCTGGGGGCTGGTTGAGCTTCGCCACTCGGAGGAGACGCGGCGGTGGGGTGCAGGAGCGGGCACCCCGCGCTGCGGGGCTTGGGTTAGCCCTGGCATCCATGGGGTGACACACAACCAAGACCCACGCTGGTACCACTGACGTCCCAGGCAAGCAAACCCCGTGAAACCTGCGCACACAGGGATGCCCAAACCCTGGCACTGCGGCCACTGGTGTCAGCCCAGGATGTGGCCGTGTGGGCTGCCAGCTCGGGTGCAACACCCGGGAAGATGCTGCGGACCCGAAGCCAAGTGCTGAGCCGGGGAGCAGCTTTCGAGGGGGGCACCTGGGGCTCCAGGCACCCAATGAGCTGTGGTGGGGCTTCAAAACCTGTTGCCCCACCTGGGCAGATTCTACCATGCACAGGCTTGTGCTCGCTTGTGGTGACCATGGTCATGTCCGAGCCCAGAGGGGAAAATCTGCCCGGCGCTAGCAAATGCATGGCCATGGCAGCGGCTGTACAAGGACATGAGCAGAGCTGGAGCAACCATCTACCAGGCGTCCTCCGCTTCGGCCAGCACTGGTTTCACTATGACAACCCCACAGGGTCCTGAGCACCTCCAGCGCTGTCCTGGCACTTGGGATGGGGCATTTCAGCATCCCCCGGACCCTCCTGCCAGGGCAGGACCAACGTGGGGAACAGACGGCCTCTGCCACCGCGTACCGGCCACCATGGCTTCCAGGTGGAGCCATGCGCTGACATGGCACTGCGGTCACCGGGCATCACAGGGATGCAGCTGCTGCATGCACCCTGGCAGGTCTCCCTCGCACAGGGGGTCCCCAGACCCGGTTGGGGGCTGGAGGCATCACCGGACCACGCACCAGAGGGACCGGGAGCGGCTGAAGACCACGCCAGCTCTGCCGTGCCCTGCAGGATAACATGATGAACACAAGACAACCCCCGACCAAAGCCTTTCCCCCCCAGTGAAATAACAACCCCCAACCCCACCAACAGGCTCCAGGAATAGCCCCAGCCCGGCTGGGACCCGAGACCATCCTGAGCATCCCTCTGGCACCGGCGCTGCATCCTCAGCCTTTCCCGGGGCTGCTGCCGCCCTGTTTATGCAGCGCAGCTGGGTGGGTGCCAGCTGCCTCTGGGCCGGCACGGGGAAGGCGCAGGCAGCCCCCTTCAGCTCCCCCTGCCCTCGCCGCACACAGGCACCCTCTGTCCTCCCCAA